CCGCTCCGCTGAAATTCTCACCGCTCCGCTCCGCTCACATGCTTTGGTGTAGGGGTTGTGTTTGAGCAAGACAAGCATTGATTCTTGGGTTTGAGGTACTGAGCTGGAAGGTATTTTGGCACATTAAGATTAAGGACTCTCCAATATGTTAACTACAAATTAACATTTTGGTGCTGGAAGTGTGGTCGTTAATCTATATAGAATAACGCAGGAGGGAAATCATGGCTTTTTGGTGTTCTCAGTAAAGCAGTCCAAAAGCTGTGAGCCTGGCCGCACATATTGCCTCCTATTAGACAGTTATAGGACCCATTAAACACCAGAGCATGCTATTTATAAAGAGTTGACCATACAGTGGTTTGGGAATCATTATTTGGTAACATGGTCCTAGCCTACATACCAAGATAATCCAACAAAAACACATTTGGCTTTATCCTCTGCTTGGTTTTCAAAAGTTATTCAATTATTGCTAAAAAAAAAAAAAAACATTATTTAATTTCTTTTAGCATTTATTACACTATTATTCCATATATAATGTACAGAAGTTGTCTTTACTGAGCAAAACCTGAGAAACCAGTTCTGCAGAACTTTGCCCCTGAAGCATTTTACAAAAGAGTAATATTGACTAAAAACGACGCTGATGTACCATTATTACCTGCAATCTAATGGGTACAATTTAGCTTCAGAACAGACACTTATGTGGCTCAAGTTTTATTACCTATTAAACAAACATTGAACAAACAAGTGGTGCTAAAAGTAGTACATGTATGCATGTCAGTCTATCCTAACATGAAATATAATATAATAAAATCTACCACAATATAATAAAATCATTGTATAAAAAATGTCTCTTCAGGCTTTTAAACAGACATTTACATACTTTTTTGAGATTCAAAGAACATCAATTTATGAAATACTATGATGGACTAGAATTAAAAGGAAAAAAGACAGCAGAAATGTACAAATATTAAATACACATTTTACACAAACATTTTCTCAAAGGAAACACTGAAAATAACACTGATAAAATGCTACAGACTTTGTTTCTTGATGGAAAATGAGAACTAGTAACATTTTACAAATCAAGTGCATCAGTTTCATTTAATTTCATTTGTACTCCAGTATTGTCTCCTTTAAATCAGGATGAATTCACCCTGGGGTCTTTCAGGGTACAGTAGATTAGGGAGAGAGTCAGCAGGACAAAGAGAAGGGCTATCATTCTTATGATGGAGAGCCAGATGAGGATATTCATATGCGCATGATGGGAATCTGATAAGGGAAGAGATCATGATTTAATGTTCCTGTAGTTAGTGAAGTTCATACTATTAGAAAACAGTATGTGACTTGCCTATTCATCTACAAATAAGTATCAAATACAGGGTTTTGATGAATCTTTGAGCTATCCCAGGAAACAAGGGAGACGACAAACTGATAGTTTAAAATGAGTGAAGTCTGTCCAGTATAAACAATCGATACACAGTAGGTTGGACACAAAATAGTAAAGATTAAACATTACAACCAATACACATATGAAAGAATGAATGGAGAACAATCAGCACATAAGCAAAGGTATCTATATAAAGGTAAACTGGTATGGTGAATGTTACTGTACATTTTCAGTACATTTTCAAACAACCCATAGCAGCTTCTCAGCATACAGCGTTTTCAAAGCACAGAACAATATGCTGAAAACCTTTGTACTAAACATGTTTTTCACAAATACTGTATAAACTCATTTCTAGCTCTTTTTTAAAAAAAAAATAGCATCAATTGTGCCATTTAAACCTTGGATTCAAAGGTTTTATTTGTCACATGCACGGTATACAGTCAGACTGTAACCTGCAGTGAAATGAATGATAGTCAACTCCGGCATTAAAAAAATAAAGCGTTCATAATTTTAATGAGAAGGGTATCCATATTACACATTAAATGATTTGTGGTTGTCAGGATAAATAATCCATGATCCATGACAATGTTTAGACATTGATCTGTTTAGACACATAGATCTTACTTGTACTCCAGACATCTACCTTACTACTTATAATAGATTTAATTAAAAGCTTACCTTCTACGTGAACCTTTGTCCCATTGCCAAACAGCATCTCCCCACACATGGCCACAGCGCAGTAGTAAGTCCCAGCATCAGAGGGGCTGAGGTTCCTCTTGGGGAGGCTGTAGACACAGCTCCGTGTAGGAGATCCAGCCTCAGGGCTCTTCTCACACTCATCACTCCTGTTTCCGTGGCTGTAAATGACTCCTGGAAGAGATTCTCCTGATCCATGTCTGAACCAGTAAACACTGTGTTCTCCTGCACAGCTCCCAGTCTCTATTGTACACTGCAGGGTCACAGAGTCTCCTGGCTGCACTGTGTCAGGCACAGGCTGCTGTACTACTGTGTGAGTTTTTCGGTTGGATCCTGGAAGAAGGTCATGATTTTCATCAATCAGTTTTCATGGCCACTTTTTAAATGTGCTGCCAGAAAATTGTACATATATAATTATTACAGAATAAAGTTGAGTGAATCAGTCATCAAGGGTTGTAATAAAATTCTTATTATAGTTATTCATTAGCTTGTCTGTAATTTCTTTTAATATGTTTATAAGGTTTATGAAAGTTTAATATATTTTATAATTACCTGATATGATTAAAAAGGTTGCAGTAGGAATGTGCAATTTAAGCATGTAGCCAAAGAGCGCACAGTAATATACACCAGAGTCAGAGGTCTTTGCCTTGGAAATTCTCAGATTAAACATGTTTTGCTCTTTCTGCAGAGTAAATCTCTGCCTGTCATTAATCTCTTCGTAAGATGTGTATCCTGTTGCTGTGTATGAAGCTAATATAACCTGTGTCATCGTTCCAACAATATGCCTGAACCAAACAACGCTTGTAAAACTAATATCAGATGTAGTGTTGCATGTGAGTACCACATTTTCCCCAGGCTGTACTCTCACTGCTGCCTTTAGCTGAAAAATGTCTTCTGTCATCATCATACCTTGTAAAAGACAGTAAATTGGTGCATTATTACTCAGAATACTGAAGTAATGTGAAATTCCAAATAAACATGTTATAACAAATCAGTCTAACAAATCCGAGTTAATTAAAATTTACAATAATAACTAATTCTCTGGTAGCCATACTCAAATTTTAAGCTCCACTTACCCATTTCAGTGATCAGCATAAGAGCCACAAAGATTCTGATCGTCATTGCAGATCTTGTCCCCTCAATGCAACATGTGGTTGTATCGTTAGAATTCGGTTTCATTAGAATCTCCATAATAATGGGTGGAGCATGGTGTGTGTATGTATGTGTGTGTGTGTGTGTGAGTGTGTGTAAATTATTAACAAATCTATTATGTTATATTTGTGGATTTTAAGGCCATTCGTATAAAAATTTTCAGTTTTCAGTTACCACATACACTTGCATATATGAATTTCAATACTATGAAACTGAAACGTGGTCAGTAGTTGGAACTTTTAGTGTGATTAGCTATACTGTGTAATCACATTATGTTAGTACAAATCTAAATCATTTGGGCTTTTTGAGTATTTTTGCATTGCATTTTTGGGCTTTGTAATGTGAGCAATGCTAATCTGCTAAACACTGTGATTCATACTTCTGGTCTTTGTATTATTATTATACATCATTATACATAAACCCTTTGTGGAAAATTGCCATTGTTTTCTCATTCACTGCAGTAGTATGCTTGAAATATACCTTACTGTTATCCATATCATTTTTGCATCTCCTAAACCTTTGCATTGACATTATGTTCACTGCTACCATTAGGTAAACCTCATAATAAAAAATAACGTGTATTTATTCTTTACTTATTAGAGCCCTTTACAGTTAAACCACAGAAGACAGAGCTAAGGCTGCAACAGACCCACTCACTAGCAACACAGAAAAACCTGAAAGAGGCACAAGTTTTGCTGTAAGAGTCTAAACTTCAATCAGGCAAGTAAGCAGTAGGTAACAAACACAAACCATCACAAACATCAAACAATGAACCAACAGGGAACAGAAGCAGGGACTAAAATACTAAGAGGTAACGAGACTAACACTGGACAGGTGAGGCTAATTAACAAAGACTGGGAAAACATGGCAGAGATGAAACTAATTAACTCAAAGGAACTAAAACAGGGAAACTAAGAACTAAGCAAGGAAACAGAAACTAACACTGGGGAAAACTGACAGATACAAACAATGAAGAGCAAAAACCAAAATCTATAAAACTTGAAAAACAGAGGAGGCGGGATTTGAATATAAGACAGGGGATCATAGGCAGCCACATGTTCAATGCGTTGAGCCATGTGGCCAAACAGGGAACAAGCGAAAATACAGACTGACAACACAAGGGACGGGATGACCAGCAATACCTGCTGGCCAAACGGGGAAGGGTCACAGAGTGGGACAACAGGGGCTGACCCTGACACTCAGTGTGTGTTATACACTACAGGGTCAGTCTCCCGACAGCTACTTTACTGTTTCTGTGTTGCTTTCCAGAATCTAATGAACAATTGTCTTCTGTAATGCACCATTATAAAATCAATTAATATAATATGCAATGTAATTTGTGTGCTGAATTTCCACCAAAAACAAACTGCATCTAGAATATGATCTGAAAGATATTCCCTTTAATGTGAGAAGTGTTAAAGTTTGCAGAAAAATATTTACTCCTCATTCCACTGCATTATACACTCACCTAAAGGATTATTAGGAACACCATACTAATACGGTGTTTGACCCCCTTTCGCCTTCAGAACTGCCTTAATTCTACGTGGCATTGATTCAACAAGGTGCTGAAAGCATTCTTTAGAAATGTTGGCCCATATTGATAGGATAGCATCTTGCAGTTGATGGAGATTCGTGGGATGCACATCCAGGGCACGAAGCTCCCGTTCCACCACATCCCAAAGATGCTCTATTGGGTTGAGATCTGGTGACTGTGGGGGCCATTTTAGTACAGTGAACTCATTGTCATGTTCAAGAAACCAATTTGAAATGATTCGAGCTTTGTGACATGGTGCATTATCCTGCTGGAAGTAGCCATCAGAGGATGGGTACATGGTGGTCATAAAGGGATGGACATGGTCAGAAACAATGCTCAGGTAGGCCGTGGCATTTAACCGATGCCCAATTGGCACTAAGGGGCCTAAAGTGTGTCAAGAAAACATCCCCCACACCATTACAACACCACCACCAGCCTGCACAGTGGTAACAAGGCATGATGGATCCATGTTCTCATTCTGTTTACGCCAAATTCTGACTACCATTTGAATGTCTCAACAGAAATCGAGACTCATCAGACCAGGCAACATTTTTCCAGTCTTCAACTGTCCAATTTTGGTGAGCTCGTGCAAATTGTAGCCTCTTTTTCCTATTTGTAGTGGAGATGAGTGGTACCCGGCGGGGTCTTCTGCTGTTGTAGCCCATCCGCCTCAAGGTTGTGCGTGTTGTGGCTTCACAAATGCTTTGCTGCATACCTCGGTTGTAACGAGTGGTTATTTCAGTCAAAGTTGCTCTTCTATCAGCTTGAATCAGTCGGCCCATTCTCCTCTGACCTCTAGCATCAACAAGGCATTTTCGCCCACAGGACTGCCGCATACTGGATGTTTTTCCCTTTGCACACCTTTCTTTGTAAACCCTAGAAATGGTTGTGCGTGAAAATCCCAGTAACTGAGCAGATTGTGAAATACTCAGACCGGCCCATCTGGCACCAACAACCAGGCCACACTCAAAATTGCTTAAATCACCTTTCTTTCCCATTCTGACATTCAGTTTGGAGTTCAGGAGATTGTCTTGACCAGGACCACACCCCTAAATGCATTGAAGCAACTGCCATGTGTTTGGTTGATTAGATAATTGCATTAATGAGAAATTGAACAGGTGTTCCTAATAATCCTTTAGGTGAGTGTATCTCTGAATTTGATGATTCTGTTTTTCAGATTATTAAATGATTGATTTCCTCAATTTTTTTTTCACTTTGTAGCATTTTGGGTTAAAGTTGGGAAATGTTGGTCTCTGCCTGATAATTAGCTTAAACCAAAACACAGAATGAGCGTCATCTTTGGGAAATGAACATTTCAAAGTCACATTGTCTCCGGCTTCAACTGTCAAGAATTGACTAGGCTTAATGCCAAAATTGAAAAAAAGAAAAAAACAAACAAATAATTGAAACATTTTCGTATTCTACACATTGTAACTTTACGCAAACTTCAAAACAACAATAGTTATTAGAAAAGATTGTATTAGAAAAGATGCATCGTTGCTACAGGTAGACAATGTGTAGTAACAAATACTTACTTACACAATTTACACAAAACTACCCAGAGTCTATTCTTCTTAAATGATGTTGTTCTGTGGTTTCAGTCTGGGGTTTTTTGCATCCTGACTGTCCCAGTTTTCAGTTGTGTGAGAAGGTGTAGCTAAACTGGGGTTGCTTATTGGTAGAAGAAACAATAAGACAAAAATTGTTTTTCTACTTACAATTTTAAATAGTTTCCCTAAAATGTGGTTACAAAGTATAAAACTTGTTGCTAAATAAGAATCAATCAACCTGCAGTGCTTCTCATTAATCTTCACGTGTAATTCGGGGTTGTAGTGCAGCTGCACATTTAATTTCCAAATAGGTGGCATCGTTTCCTCCCACCTTCATGGTTGGGTGTCGCAATCTGTCTCTGTCAATCACGTCATGTTCTTGTTTGCCCAGCAGAGGTCTCCACTGGCCATCCCATTGCCACCCTAACCTGTTCCCAGTTACACGGTATTCCTAGTGTTTGGCTTGTTGTCAATGACTCCTACCTGTCCCTTGTCTAGTCTAGTATCCATGTATATAAGTTCCTGCCTGTCTCTGTGTATCTCATGGTGTCAACAAATCTCATCATTTACAAAAATAAAATTTTAAAAAAAGTTACAACTGGGAACATATTACAAAACATGATTAGACAGCCAAACCTCATTTAACAGAGATTTACTTGGGTTTTGAAAATAAAGATTTTTTTTTAGAAAATCAGAACCTGTTTTGTCCCTAATCTCAAGAATCACTGTTATAAAAGAGCTTAGTATACATGATCACATGCTCTGGCTTCCTTGGAAAATACCTAAAAAGCTCACAAATCACTTCCAAGGACACAGAATATGGACCTTTTATAAAATTTTGCTGTAATGGTTATTGTGCTACTTTATATATTGTAGCACCAGGCGGACCGAGGGGAGACTTGCTTGCCTGGGAATATGTGGTTTTGGGACCGGTCTGTCCCCACTGCCATGCCTGCTGCCGCCTCCATTAAAATGATAACTCAAAAACTGTTCATTGTATCTTTTTCAAACCTTGCAGAGGCATTGTGATGTAACTAGAAATTATTTTGTATTGTAACTAGAAATTATTTTGAGATGGACTGCCCCGAAACTCAATTAGCACCACATAGTACTTGTCAAAACTTAATTTTTTACCCTTGATCCTTTTAAGAAGAGTACTCAAAAACTATTTGGCAGTTCTTTTTCAAACTTTGCAGAGGCATTGTACAGGTGCTGAACTGGAAATGGTAAAATTTTGAGTTTAAGCAACACTGCTTAGTGGCAGTGAAGGAAAGGGTCAAAGGTGAAAGCAGACAAAATCTGACCTTGAGAATGTTAAAAAATCAAAAAGTATTTGATAGATTATATTGCTGCTTCAAAAACATTATGTGGATGAAGATCTACTCCTGATTTCATTTTCAGACAAATAGCCCCCAAAATGACACAGCAGTGATGTTTGGTAGCAAAGGAAGGAAATGGCAGCTGTACAAGGCACTTGGTTTTGTGAACATAGTAACTCAAGAAGTATTTTATAGATCTTTTTCAAACTTTACGGGAATATTGTGGATGTAACAACCTGGCAGTGATCACATTTTATGACAGCACACTAGAATTGAAGCAGTGCTACATCATGATAGCAAAGACAAGCGCAGCTAAGACACTTAATCCTGTTGGAATGATAACTCAAATATATATTTTCCATGCTTTGCAGGCTTATTGTTTGGGTGAAAAATTGAGTCAAATCACGGCAAAACTGAAGCAATGACACTAAGTAACAGCAAAGAGAAGGATGAATGAAATATGAGGCTTAACTTTGTGAACAGGATATCGCTCTTTTGTTATTATTGCTCTATTTCAGCCACCTTATAGAAAGAACGCCATGATGGTCTGGGAATCTCTGCTCTATT